CCCGGACACCCGCCGCCCCTTCTGCCCACCCCCACCCCAGCCACGCGCCGGCGCCGCCCGAGGAGGGTCCCAGCCGCAGCAGGAAGGGCTCGCAGGGCGCTGTGCTCTTCGCTCTGCAGGGGGAGTCTCCCGGGCCGGCCGGCGGCAGGCACTGGGGCGCGCGGGGGGGGAGGCAGGTGTGAGGGCCGATCCCCGTGGTCCTCGTCCCCGCGCCCGCCCTGCGGCGCTCACGCTCCACCGTGGGTCTGCGTGTCCCGCTCGCTCGGCCAGGGTGCTCCCTCCCTCCCTCCCTCCGAGCCAACCTCCGCCCCTCCGCGCGGCTAGCACCGTCACATTGCTTACAGGACTGAGAATGCCCGGCCCCTCCTCTTGGCGCCCTGGGGACCAAAGGCAGGACATCGCCCATGCTAGGCAAGGGCCCCCCCACTGACTTTGTGTGTATGGAAACAGGATCCCCCTAAATTGTCCAGGCTGGCCATCCTTCTGCCTCAGCCTCTGCACAGCCGAGGTGACAGGCATGTGCTACCACACCCAGCCAGATGCCTACTCTACAAACTTCCGACACATGGGAGGGCTGGCAGAGGACGAGGAACAGGACACCATGTGGCTTTCAAGGCGTATTTGGCCCACTCAGCTTTCCAGGTCTCTGAAATCTTTGGCGCCAGTGCCTGCGAGGCCCGAGGTGGAGGCCCCACAAGTGGGGACCGCTCCAGGGGTGTCACACAGGCTCCACCAGAAGCCTGAGGCCAGCAGCAGGGCCCTACTTCAGACAGTAGGGTAGGCCCGGCGGGCCCGGGGAAGCGGTGCCGAGAGCTCAGACGTGCGGCAGAGCTGCTAGAACCCAGCATCCAGACCCAGGCTTCTCTGCGCCAGATCTGCCTCTAGAATTCGAGACCCCCTTGGCCACTCCTCCCAAGGACCCTCCGGGCCATGGGCTGCCCTAGGTTGACTTTGTGAAGGGCTGGTTTTTACCCAGTGAAATCCAGCGCTGGGCAGGAGTAGGGACGGGTGACGGGGCCAAGGCCCAGCCTGCCCAGAACCACTTCTCTCACTGGGCTCTGCTCTACCACAGATCAGGCTACCCATGGACCACAGCCTGGCATTGGCCCGAGTCTCTGACGTCACAATGTCCAGCCAATCAGGTGCTGACAATGGCTCAGAAGGAACCAAAAGCTGGACCCACGGTCTGCGCCACCTGCTGCCCAACTCTAGTTTTGCAGGACGGGTGCTGGGAGATCCAGCGGGCAGGCCAGCGGGCCCAGACAGGTGCATAAGGGGTCCTTCGGGGTGACTCATGTTATCGGGGCACGGAAGATCGAGCCAAGACACACGGGTGACTTCCGGCTCTACAGGGTAGGGGCAGTAGCAGGCATAGGGCCGGGCCAGGGCAGAGGTCACAATGTGCGGTAAGGCTTCCGATGTTCAGGACTAACTACATGACCCTGGAAAGAATAACAGCAGCACCATGTACCATAAACAAAACATCTGTATTAGAACATTTACACTCAGGGAAGAAAGAGGTATCTGCATCATCAAATTTGGAATGTTGAAGAAATAGTTAAAATAAATAGATTCTGAGCACAAACAGGGCTGTCTCAGGCTGGGGCTCACAGAGGCCACGACGCGTCAGCTCCAGGCTGCAGGGGCCACACCTGGCCACCCTGACCTCCTCCCCGACGCAGCACAGCTGTGCCCGGGACACAGTGTCTCAGCTCCTGGAGCAGCCGGCAAGCTCACTCCCCGCTCTCCTCACTGATCTCTGTGACAATGTCTATCAGGCTCTGGAGCCCGAAGATATAGCCAGCGTCCTGGCCCTCGTGCACCACACTGTCCTCGCCGTACAGCCTGCAGGTGGTGTGAGCGAAGTCGATCATGCGCACGTCCACAGAGCTGGCGCCCAGGGGCTTGTAGGCGTAGGCACCAGCAGACTCATCGGCCGACTCCTCGGACAGGTCCTCCAAGTCCTCAGCATCTGAGTCCAGGGCCACCTCAGGCCACTCTTTGCCATCGTAGATCACCAGCAGGGAGCTCGAGTAGAAGCGATAGGACTCCTGCCGTTCCAGCACTGCCTTGAGCTCAGCCAGCTTCTTGAGCACTGGGCCCAGCAGCTCCCGGCGCAGGTACCGCCCGTTATGGAAGAACTGGAAGAGCGCCTCCTTGAAGCCCTGCACCGACAGCTTCCGCCCGTGGTACTTGTTCATGAACATGAGCTGCCCAGTGCCCGCCTGGTACACCTGGGGGAGAGACCAGCAGCTCAGGGGCACGGCCCCTTCAAGGCCGGGCCTAGGGGACTGTGGCAGGGTGACAGCCCAGGTCCGCTCCCTTGGCTTGTGGGTTACACTGGCCACACACGAGCTGGTGGATGTGGTATCTGAGCTGAATTTCGTCATGGATTCCCAGCCCCCTACTCGGCACCTGCACTCATGGATACAGCCCAACCATCCTGCCTTCATCCCCAGTCTTGTCCAGACTCCAGGCTCAGCCCACCAGGCCGGCCTCCGAGGGATCCCTAGACATGTGTGCTTTTTTTTTTCAACCAGAAAGAAACACACTCATTCATCTAAGTTAACTGTGCAATCTTTGAAGCAAACAGAACCATGGCACAGTGGGCCGGTGGCAGCCCTCCCCATGTACTAGTACGCTCCTTACCTGCATGCCACACACACGCACGCCGATGACTGCAGAAGTGCTCTGCTGACATTTGCGGATCTGGTTGGCCGCTTTCTCCTCTGAAGCATCATCACCGTGCTGGCGTGTGCCCATCTTGAGGTCCAGCACACATGGCACTTCATAGCGGGAAGTCAGGTTCTCTAGTAAGATGAATTCTGAGCGGTTAAGGGCAGTACCCTCAAGAGGAAGTGCTACCGCAAGGGGCCTGCACACAGCGACCCAGACAAACTCAAGCCACAGGGAACTCCACTAACTGTGCTGTCAAAGGGACCCGGCACAAGGGCAGCCAGCACTTCCCCACGTTGCCCAAGCAGGTCCCCGGCTTGGAAGACGTGTTCGCCATTTCCTGAACTGCCCTCAGTAGAGGACCACAGTCCCAGAGCAGACTGTCCTCAGTCACACAGAGAACAGGACAGAGAACAAGTGAGTTCAGTATGTTCTGCAGCCTTACACGTGAACTATATATATATATATATATTTTTGTTGTTGTTGTTTTTCTCCGGTACCGGGAACCGAACTCACGACCTTGCGCTTGCCAGGCAGGCGCTTTGCCACTGAGCTAAATCCCCAGCCCCTCACGTGAACTATAAATACCAGGACAAACTCATGAAAAGGTTCTCCTTAGAAAGTCCAGCTCCAGGCTGCACGCACGGAGAGGGTCGAGACGCAGGAGAAAAGGCAAGAGCGCCTCCTGTGTACAGCAGCCCCACCCTTCCCAGGCCCAGGAGCCGGGGCTTCCCGCAGGACAAACTAGTAAGCTATGGCCACTGCTCCTCCCTGCGCAGCCTACAAGCTGGAATGGCCTACACTTTGAGAGAGAAAAATATATGCAATACTTTATGACCCATGAAAATAAAGTGATACCCAATTACAGTGACCACAAAATTCTATCAGAACAGCACACCTGTTTATTTATATTACTGTCTATGAAAAAAGTGTTATTCCACAGACTGTACAGTCCACAAAAACCTAAAATACCTACTACTTAGCCCTTCACTGGATCCTGCCTTAGAGGAATGTTCTGAGCGCACATCTGGGGCAGGAAATATACAGAGCCATTTTCCAGACCATCTTTTTCACATCAGAAAGCAAGACAAAGGGCCCAGGGATTTAGCTCAGCAGCACAGTGCCTGCCTGGCAAGTGCAAGGTCATGAGTTTGATTCCCAGCACCGGAAAAAAACAACAAAAAAACAAACAAACAGATAGCAAGACAAGCCAGGTGCGGCACACGCCTGCAATCCCAGCACTCAGGAGGCTAAGCAGGAGGATCACTTTGAGTTCCAGGCCACCCTGAACGACATGTCTCAAAAAAGGAAAAGACAAACTATCATAGACTACTATGATTCTGTCAATCTTGGAGACAATGTGAACATCAGTGAAAGTAACAGCTGTAACGGACTCAAACACATCAAAAATATTCAAATTCACACATTCGTAACACTGGTTAAACACTCACTGGCCAACTCAGCATGGTACCACATGCCTGTAATTCTAGCACTCTAGCAGGCTGAGACAGGAAGATCAGAAGTTTGAGACCACCCATCTTGGGCAACTTAGTGAAATCCTGTCTCAAAATAAAAGATGATAAAAGGGCTGGGGACTGCAGCTTGGCGTGACGGAATGGCCTGAACTGAGATTCACTCCTCATTTCTGCAAACAAAACAACAAACCTCACCGCCCACGTCTGGAGGATGGCAGCGAACGAACTCGTTACTCCAGACGCTGTAAAGGGAAATAAGCATTCCCTGCTGGTATGGTCTGAACGTGAAGCGCCCTCCAGAGACGCATTGCTTGAAGGCTTCATCCCCAGTGCAGCCAGACGGGGCCTGAGGTAGAGAGACTGAGGCACGAACCTCAGCGGGGCGGTGGGCCCAGGCAGCGGGCCCAGGCCGAGGACGAGGGTCACTGCGGCGCCTCCTCAAGCACATCCTGCCCCGCCCCTCTGTCTGGCTCTTCCTCTCTCTGCTTCCCCGCAGCCACGGAGTGAGCAGCTCCCCTCGGCCGGGCCTTCCACCATGCTGTGTCTGCCGTGGAGCCAGCGGCCGTGGACTGAGCCCTCCGCACTGCAGCTGCCCGGGACTTTGTCTCAGCAATGGAAAGGGGACTAATGTATCTGCCTTTCCTATATAAAATGTACCTCAGGATAAGTACATAGTTGATAAAAAAAGAAGTTACTCTCTAAAAAATGATTCCAATGAATGACAAAATGACAAAACTGCCTAACAACCGGGACCAGCGTGGCACAGGACTATAGTCTCAGCACTCTAGGAGGCTGAGGCAGGAGTATTACATATTTGAGGCCAGCCCAGGGAACCTAGAGACCCTGTCTTATAAAATACAAGGGTCGGGGATATAGCTCAGTGGTACAAGCACGTTCCTGGCAAGGACAAGATCCTGAGTTCCATTCCCAGTACCAAAAGAACCCCAAAATACAAAAGCGCTGGCTAAGGGGTGTAGTTCAATGGCAAAAGCACTTACCTAGTATCTGTGAGGCCCTGGGTTCAATCCCCAGTACACACAAAGGAGAAAGGAAATTACAGTTGGGTGTGGTGGTATACACCGTAATGTCAGCATTCTCGGAGGCTGAGGCATGAGGACTGCCAAGTTTGAGCCAAGCCCGGGCAACTTAGGAAGCCGGAGAGATCTTGTCCCAAAATAAAAAATATTATATACAAAAAGGGATGGGGATTCAGCTCAGTGTGAAGGCCCTGGGTTCAAGTCGCAGTAACACACACACACACACCCCTAATAAATGGATCTGGGGTAACGATGATCTAAGACGAAGAGCTGAACACTATGCTTCCCGATCGATGGACATGTATCACACCACCTCCCAAGGGTTCCTGCTCCTCTCCTCCCAAGGACAGAACCTGAATGTGATGAAGCCTTCAGAGCCAAGTATTAATTTACTGGAAACAGAGAGGACGGAGTAACATATAAAAGGGTGGGGGATATAGCTCAGTGACACAAGGACGTGCCTGGCAAGCGCAAGGTTCTGAGTTTGATTCCTGGTACCAAAAAAACTAAAATAAAATGAAAAATAAGACACCACAGGGATGCAATCAGTAAAATTTAGATCAAAGGCAATTCCAGAAGACAGTTTCTGTGAAAAATTTTCAAGAAGAAGCTGGGCGTGGTGCAGTACGCCTGCAATCCCAGCACCCTGGAGGCTGAGACAGGAGGATCACTGTGAATTTCATGTCAGACTGGGCTACATAGTGAGTTTAAGACAGGCCTGACCTGCATACTGAGACCTGTCTTAAAAAAACAAGCCAAACCAACCAAACTAACCGAACCAAAACAAACAAATGAAAACTTTTTTCAAGAAGAAAAAGACGTAAAGTGGTATTTAAAGACTTGGAACATTTGAATCCGATGCAACCTGTAAACCTTTAATTTTCTTTACCCCCCACTTTGTCTGTTCAGATGGGGTTTATTGTGTGACGAGGCCCAGTGCTCCCCCTCCCGTACCTTACGAGGCGTCGCCCAGGGCTGTGCGGGAGGCGGCAGCTGCACGGGGTGGCGGGGCAATCCCACCTGCATCCCCCTTCCCAGAAGCCTACCCCGCCCAGCTCCCATCCCGCTCCCTCACAGAGGGCCTGCAGCCAGCCTGCCCGCCCCACACCCAGGGCAGGAGCACCGAGACAGTACCAGAAGGCAGCATGGAGACGGGGCCACGCAGGGAGGCAAGCAAGCCCCAGAGGGGGAGATTTTTGTTTGCTTTTTTGTTTTTGCAGCTAAGACAGCTATATTCAGGCTGGCCTTGAGTTCACTATGTAGCCTTCAGGCTGGCTTCGAACTCACGGTGATCCTCCTGCCTCAGCTTCCTGAGAGCAGGGATTATAGATGGGCACCACCGTGCCCGACACACCATGTAAACCTCGTAAGAATCCACATTCAGACAAACCAGAAATGAAAATCGACCGAGACAGTAAGATGTACATGCATGTAGGTGTGAGTCAGGCGGGCTTTTGTTTTGCGGCTGTCATGTATGCTGTGCCCCGCCTCCAGGGACTGCACCCGTCTCTGCACTGAGCCCCAGCCCCAGCCCCTCTGGCTGTCTACACAGGGTCTCACTCCGTCAGGCTCAGACTTGCAGTCTTCCTGCTTCAGCCTCCCAGAGTACTGGGATCACAGGAATGGGTCACCACACCTGACAACTTACACTGTATTACAGTGAGAAATTACTGTCCTTATTTTTTTGAGACAGGATCTCGATGTGTAGTTCACACTGGCCTTGAACACACAGCAATCCTTTGCCGTGGCCTCCCCAGTGCTGGGATTACAGGCACATGCTGTCATGACTCACCTGTCCAATGTTTAAAGAAGTGAAAGTGGTACAAATGTTCTAAACTCCCCTTATCTTCTGAAGATACATGCTAATATGCATATGGGCCGGGTGTGGTGGCGCACGCCTGCAATGCCAGCACTTGGGAAGCTGAGGTAGAAGATCGATCGCCAGGAGTTCAACCCAGCCTGAACTACAGTGAGGCTCTGTCTCAAAAAAAAGGAAATAGATGAAATGATATATTACAGATTTCCTTCAAAAAGAGTCTAGTTGGAAAAAGTTGTGTAAAAATCACTAGGGGTGCAAACCCAGTGGTACCGTGCTTGCCTGGCACTCAGGAGGCGGCCCCTGGGTTTAATCCGCAGCACGGCAGCTGTGCTGTGCTGGGTGTACAGTCGTGACACCAGACAGACACAGCGGGCCCACTGTGAAATCCTGGTGACCAGTACTTCAATATTCAGTGCATTATCCCATTTTTTATTATTCCATTTTATGTTTTCCCTAATAAGTTACATTCTGAGGAATCTCAACCTGTAAGATTAAAAGCAAGGCAATTCCTTACCTCTCAGGCCACAGAGCTAACAGCTTAACAGGTGAGCAGGGGAGACGAACGAAAGGGACCTGGTGCTTCCCTCGTCCACAAGCACAGGCATCTGCTCTCCCCGCCTCTCGGGTGAGCAACTGTGTGGAGCGCCGCCATGTAGCCCGGGCCCTTCGGGGTCCCCGTCACTCCCCAAGACCCTACCCTGCCCCCACCAGCTGCACACCCACGCCAGTCCCTGCTTGTAAGGGATCCGACACTTTCCCGGTTAGAACACGGCATATGCTGCACAGCCTGGGATTAACCCGACCCTCCCAGAGCCTGCCCGCCTCGCCCCTCAGAGCAGGCCCGCCAGGGAAGGATACTGTACTGGCTGCGGTGCTTGGCGTTGTCCTTCATTCTCTGCAGCTGCTGCTGCTGACACTTCATGCTCCAAGGGTTATAGTGTTTAAGCTGGGAACTTATATTTCCCTTTTTTTCTACACTGTAGTATAAGATTTCAGACTTCTTTAGCCACTCAAATTCTTCTTCTAACTTATGGCTATAAAGAGAAAAAATGCAGTCAGTCACAATATCATAACAAAATTCAGTGTGGAAGCGGCATGAGGGACCTTTGGGAGTGATGACAAGACGGGATGTTCTGATACGGTAGTGGTTACAATGCACGCCTCCGCCCAGACTCATTCAACGCTTCAAGGGGCTGCACTCTACCCTAGCACGCCTCAAGAACGCTGGCTTACAGCGCAGGCAGGACCCAAAACCCAAGAGCAGCTGCTGCACCCTCACTTCCAGAGTGGGCGTCCTCCAGCCCCCCTTCCAGGTAACACTGACTAACCCGCGCTTTCTGGTACACAGGCTCCTCCTCTGACTCTCAGTCCTGGGGACTGGGAAATAAGAACTGAATTCCATAGGAATAAAGTTAATTCACTTAGGTCATATTACATGGATTTATTTATTTAGCAGTACTGAGGGGAGAACCCGGAGTCTTTACCCTGAGCTATATCCCCGGCCATTTCTTTTGTTTGAGACAGGGTCTTGCAGAATTCATAAACTGCCCAGGCTGGGCCTGCGATCCTCCTGCTTTAGCCTCCCAGAGTGCTGGGACTATAGGTGTGCCCACCACACCCAGCGGATTTATATTTTTTATCTTCATGCGCTCTCAGGCATGGAACGTGGAAGGTCCTGGCCCCCTGGATCAAATTTCACAGATGTCCTCCACAACCGATGAGCAACCTGAAGTAAAAGGGTGGTTCTCCTCACATCTGCGGGACACGGTGGTATCACAAAGAGCAATCGCAGGAGTAAGCGGAAGAATTTCTTTCACAGCTCCACTTAAGGTGTTTACCTAAAATGGCACATCTTTTTTTGCTGTTTTTTTGGAGACAGGGTCTTGCTATATAGTTCGGGCTGGCCTTGAACTCACAGTGATCCTCCTACCTCGGCCTCCCAAGTGCTGGGATCACAGGCCTGCACCACCATGCCCAATCTAAAATGGCATACCTCAACCCAGAGTTGGTTAGCAATGTTGGGCACGCCGTGTGGAACTGGTCACTGAGTGAGTGACAGGGCACCTGTAAGTTTACCAAGAAAGCCGGGAATGGTGGTGCACGCCTGTAATCCCAGCACTTGGGAGGCTAAGGCAGAAGGACAGTTATGAGTTCGAGGCCAGCCTGGGCTGCAGGGTGAGCTCAAGGTCAGCCTGAACTGCATAGTGAGACCCTGTCTCAAAACGAAAGAAAAAAGTTTTCCAACAGCCCAGGGAACCTGGATGTAACGAAGATCCCCAACACCTCTGCTCCCACAGAGCCAAACCTCCTCTCCCTCTACACCCACCTCTTCATCTTCTCCTCTTTCCGGTGCTGGCGCACCCAGTCCTTGGGGGCTTTTTCCGTTTCTAGGACGTGATGTTTTTTACTTGTCCACCTGAGAAGCTTGCTCTTTGGCTCACAGTCCGAATTGTCTACAATGTCCACAGTGCCATGGTCCCCCTTTAATGGGTACGCTACCAAGCACAGGTTCCTGTCTTCATCTTCCTCAAAGCGCACCGACACCACACCTGCAAAGGGGGCGAGGAGCAGAGGGGCTCTCAGTTGCACAGGAAAACGCGTTCCAAATGACACGATTGTAACATGTGTTTTTTTCTTACCCTGTTCCTTAGTCTCTATGTTGCCAGAGGCCCCAAACTCATCTGCAAACCTAACAAATATCAAAACAGCTAGAAAAAATGACACCATACAAGACAAGCAATTAGGGAGCAAACACAGCCAAGGGTCTTCCTCTCTAATGAACAAGGCAAGAGCCAAAGAATTACAAGACACATTTTTCCATCATTGAAAATGTTTATTAATTTTTATGTAATTCTTTCAATCCTAAGAGAAAGGCAAAAACATTGCTCTTTACGTCCTGGGGGAATTTTGAATGACCCAGAGAGAAACTCTGGCGGCCTGACGGCTAACTTTAATGCACAGCCTGATTAAAGACTAGGTAAGCAAAGCAAAATAAAGGGGCAAACAAAACAAACCACACAGCACGACAGACATCCTGGCACAGGCTTCCCGCAGCGCACCCACACGGGTGGGCACCCCAAGCCTTTTATCTTTCTCAGTTACGCTTTTATTGGTCTTTGCAGATTGGAGTCACAAAAGAACAAAATGAACAGGCAGATAAGGCTGGGCAGGGAGCACAGACACAGGCCGGCCTTGAGAGCAGCTCTCCCGCTTGAGTCTCTAGGACCTGCCATGGGTGATTACAGTCTCTGAGGAGGGGCTGTCGGTGGGAACGTTTCAGCAGGTGCCGACGAGCGCTACAACCGACAGGCTGAGCACCTCTCCTGCCAGGCCTCTGCCCCAGGATCACTCAATCTCCTCAGGCCTTCTGCCCGCCCGCGCGCTCGCTGCGGGGGAATGCGTGCTCAGAAAGACGACACTTCTGAAGCGGCCCCAGCTCTGGGTGCAGAGAAGCCGGGGCGGGGACTGAGGGGACCACACACCCCTGCGGGGAAAGGACCAAGGGAAAACGGGGCCAGGGGTGGCCAGCTAACAAAGGAACTCTGGCTTTGTCCTGGAAAAAAACAACAGAGAAGGACCAAGTGAGGGCCCCCAACTCCTCCACCCCCGCCACAACGCATGCATTTCAGGGTACAGCTCGGCTCCCAGCACAATGTGTTTAAAAAACAGTCCCAGAAGAATCTAAGTTGTTCTGGAGTCTTTTGTACGAGCAGTAATACACATTCAAAATTAATGGGTTCTTCACTGATTTACATGGGCCCTCCCCATGAAACACCACACCATGCTGATGACTACTGATGTCCTCCCAAAAATGCGTGATAAAAAGGAAGAAAAAGTAACCATGTGTGAATCAAAGGGTTGACTTCACAAAGCAATTTTGGGGACATTCCGTAATAGCTAAGCACTGCAGCTAATCAGCACAGTACTCCCACTCCTGCATTCCATCTGACTCAGTCCTGCCCCCAGCCTACCTAATCAACCAGGCTTCTGGGTTCCCGAGGTCAGAAAACAGGCAGCAAGAATTCTGGGTAAAGTCCTCCCCTTTTTCCCACTGTCTCCGGCCCATGGAGGACTACGCGTTACTGTGATCAAGAGACACCTGAACATAAAACACAACTATGCTTCCACCAAAAATAAACTCAAAACACATCCACACAACAAAACAGAATTGAGCAATCTTACCAGGACTTGGAAACCGAGGGTGTAAGTGCTGGGCCGAGGGCCAGGAGGGGGAGGGAACACAGAGCGCATGGGAGGGGTGAGGGTCTCCGCACGGCTGCCAGGGCCTTCCACGGCCGCGACCCCGCACAGCTCACCAGACTGCGGCCCCTCTAGGAGCGGGAGCTCACCTTTGTACTGAGGAGTGAACTTTCGCATCTCAGCTGGCAGAGTCTCGTAGAACTGATGCTCCCTTGGGATGAGGGGCTTGCAAAGGGTTGTCTCGTTGAAGTGGAGAACACACGAGTGCCCCCCAACTTGGTGGACAAAGGGCTCCAGCAGGGTGCCCTTGGCGCGGGGCTCCATGTCCACAGCCCTGAAGGCTGGGCTCATCCTCTGGACACAGGCGGCAGGGAGAAGGGGAGGCAGCGGAGTCCGGTGGCCAGCGCGTCCTCCGCCTGTTTGTCCGTGCGTCGTGTTGTCTTCACTCCTCAGCTTGTCAGGCCAGGTCACTCTACCAGGAGCAAACACAATGACGACACAGGGGTTGGAGCAAGCCTGGGAGTCAGACGCCCAGCCTTCTGCCGCTGGCCCTTCCCCGCCAGGAGAAAGGGAACAGCCACAGCGCACGCCGGGCTCCACCCACACGGCCCACACCAGCCCCACCTCTTCCTGAAGACAAACAGGCTTCGGCGGTGGACGCAGGGAGGGAGCGGACAGGCAGACACTAGGCTCCAGGGCTCCTACACAGACAGGGCCCCCACCACAGCATCGCAAAACACAAACCCACAACCGGGTGACATGATGATTTCAAACGTAATACTCAGGTTCAACCTTACCGATTAGTAAGACTGTCAAGCCTTAGGTGAATGGTGCCAACTCTTTTCATTAATTATATTTTTATAGTACATTTAAATAGACGAAAAACCACCGTATGCATCATCTAGAAAGATTTACACACCCAAGGTGTCCACACACACCACCTCTGCCCCGTGCCAAAGACAGGCCCCATTAACCTTATTAGCAAGCTGGAGATCAGCTTTAATGATTAACGTCTGTAACTAGGAACACCTGATCAAGGCGGGCTAACTCCATTTAAAAAGAGACGCAGTGTTCCAGGTCACAGATTATTTTTATCTGCTCTACCCTGACCACCAAACCAAAGCTGCACTTCGGGGGCAATCAGGCATCTTGTCCCGCACAGACAGAGGTCTCTAGGTTTCATTATGCATCCACAGCCACACAGCGGGGTGTCGGAAAAGCACGCCTCTGGACATGCCTCGTCAACTGTTTCGGGGAATGTCAAACTAGTCCCGTTTTCTATGTAATTATCAGACATACAGTCTCTACGATCACACTGCTTAGAGGGCTGGAACCACAGCATCTGGCGGTACAGGGGTCTTACTGGGAGTGCCATGACTCCAAGCACCCGCTACGTACCAGGCTCATTACAGGAACTTCTTGGTCCTATGGTAACCTATGAAGTAGACACTACTACTCCTGTTGCAAACAACGCAGCTGATTAGAGGAGGTGAGGGAAGACATCCAGGGCCACAGCCAGTAAGTGACAGCTCCCAGGTGAGCCTCCACCTGCAGCCTGTCAGATGCTCCGTGCAAGTGCCAGTGGGGCCCATGGTATCTCTGCCATGGTGCAGTCTTCCCACTCAGCTTGTCCCAGTGCACGCGCTTTCACTACAAACCGGTGTTTTCTATAGTAACCTCTTTAAAATGAGTTTAAGGTGGTAGTAACCTCTTCCTTTCAGAGAAACTGACCATGCATCCCACTTGGACTCAAGGACTAGGACTCTGTAAGATTTCCTATACGCAAAGAACAGAAGCCCAAAGGTCCTGATTCCTACCCTGACACTACCTTCTTGTCACCAGGTAAGTCCTCAGGAAGGCACATACTGTGTCCCAACTACACCGGCAACGGGACCAGAAAGACGAACACACTCTAGCAATTCCAGGCTCTCTCCAGAAGATGGAGCTCTGAGATGCAGGACCACAGAGGCCCTTTCTGTAGTTCTACACAGACAGGCTCATACTATTCTACGATGACCCACCCCCCGGAGACCCAAACCCAGGGCCTAGTGCATGGCAGGCAAGTACTCTACCACTGAGCGACATCCCCACTCCATGAAAAGCCCCCTGACAAACAGTATCAAAGGAAAACTACTGACTCGTGGTCAGTCTGCCTGTAACAAAACCTGGGGCAGATACTCTATTAAACTGTGAAGCCACGCATGGTAGCACACGCCTGTACTGCAGCACTCGGGAGACTAAAGCAGAAGGACGGCCTGGACTGCAAGGCCAGTCTTGGCTACAAAGTGATTTCAAGACCAGCCTGAGCTACAGAGCGAGACCCTATCTCAAAAAAACAGCAACGAAACAAAATAAAAAACGTAAAAGTAACAAAATGCTGCTCATGGGCCAGGCTTTAGAAACAAAATCTAAAATTTTCATAAAGGTGTAAAACTGCTTTTGTTAACAGAGCAGTGCTAACGACTCACGTATCTGCTCAAGGGTCCCCTATGTGTACTCAAGCAAGCACAAGTCTCCTTCCAGGCGTCTCTATCACCCATTAACATCTTCCATGAAAAATTAAAACGTCAGACACAGTGGTGCACGCCTGTAATCGCAGCACTCAGGAGACAGGGAGGAGGATGGAGCGAGTCTGAGGCCAGCCTGGGCTACACAGTGAGCTCACGGTGAGCCTGAACTATAACGTATAACGTAAGACCCTATCTCAAGGAAAACCAGAGAAAAAGAAAAGAAAACTTAGAAAGCAGTCCTTATGGAATCTCTCCAGAGAGTGCAGTTCAGCGGTGCAGATAAAGGCCAAAGGCCCAGCAAGGTCCCCACCTCCGCCTCCCAGGCCCGAGGACGCTGCCGTTCACCACTGCTACGCAGGAGGCGCACCTGCTGCCTTCCCCGCGGCACCGACTCCACCGGCCCACAGCCTGCGGCTCAGAGGGCCAGTCATCTCGGGTACAGAGGTCAGGAAAGCAGGAGCGCTTGTGCCAGAGCCAAGCCTCATCACAGAGGAAACTCCCACACGTGAGGTGAAACGAGAGAGACAGCGAGACAAAGGGCTAGCCCGCAGCTGCAGGGAGGCAGGGCCTGATTCTCCGTCACGCAGCTGCTCCGAGTCCTTGGTCTCCTCTTTCAGGTGTTAGCTCTCTGTTCTGTGAAATGGAGAAGAGAGGCCTGGAGCCCCTCTGCAGCTTGTAAGCAAACCAGTGCGTGCTAACCAGCAGTTTTTTTGGTTTTGGTTTTTAGTAAAATAGGACCAATAAAATTATCAATGCAGTCTACGTAATAATGAAGCAATTCTTGCTTTGCAATTCTTGTTTCAACAATGCTTAGCCCCTTAATCAAAATGTAAATTTGCCCTCACTGTGTAATACACTTACATTTGAAGAGGCAAAAAAGAGCTTCTGTTTTAGGGTCCCTCACTAACCGTATCCCTGTGAGAAAATGAAGTATCAGCTTCCCAAAGCACTAACAGAAGTGGATCGGCTTCCTCCCAAGGATCCACAGACTGGCCAGAAAATAAAAACCCCAAGCAGCGGGATCACATTCATATTCTCACTTTTTCTCTCATTCTCTACTGGAAATGGAACCTAAGACCTCAAACCCTATGCAAGTACCAAAGCCCAACCCCTTTAAAAATCTTTATTTTAAGACTGGGTCTCCCTAAATTTCCTGGGCTTACCTGGAGCTTTTGATCTCTCTGCCTCAGCCTCCCCAGAGTGGGGACCACAGGTGTGACCCACCATACACTGCTAGGTATCTCACCGGTTTAATGGTTTTTCAATGCCCAAAGACTAAATTCTAGTCACTCTACAGGCTACGCAGCTAGGGAGGGTGAAAATAACTAGTAAACACTAGCCTTGGATCTAGCATCTAGTTTGGCTTCCCACATGGCCTCACAGTTGTCCGTGAGACTATAAACAGGTAAGGAACACAGCATATGACTCATCCCCAAGATCTACCAAAAACTGTTTAAGGACCCGGTAGAAACAATGCCTTCATATCCTAAAACTGTACCATCACCAGTAGTCAGCCGCTGAGATTCTCACCCACTGCAGGGAGGACTGTGTAAGGGCACAGCCACTTGGACCACAGGGCAGAGGACTGTTATGGCTGGGCACGGCTACCTGGCAGGCTAAAGTCAGTGGACTGCTTGAGCCCAACGGATTGCGCCCACGCCGTAAGACCCCCGCTGAAACATGCACACAGTGAGAACTGGGGATGCAGTTCAGAGGGAGAGCACTTGCTGAGCACGGGCAAAGCTCCAGGTTCAATCCCCATCACCACAAATACTGGCAGCAGCACTATTCACAACAGCCAAAAGGTACAAACAACCAAATGTCCAGCAAATAGGTTAATGAATAAACAAATCCTGGTATATCCATACAATGGAATATCATGCGGAATAAAAAATGTAACAAAAGCATTATAGTGAAAAAAAATCTACCATAAAAGAGTCTATGCTGTGCTTCCATTTACATAAAATTCCAGAAAACTAGCAAAACTACCTAATGGCAGAAAGCAGTAAGTGGATGCCAAAAGGGCCAAAGTCGGGAAACAGGACTGACTACCAAGATGCCGAAGAGAACTTTAGGGGAGATTAAAATATTCCACACTGTGAATCAGACAGTGATCTTATGACTATACATTTGCCAAAACACATCAAATTGCAGGCTTAGAATTAAATAAATCTCATTGTACACTATATTTCAATAAACTAATTAGTTTTTCTAATACACCTTTTTTTCTTTTGTGTGCTGGGTGGGGACTGAACCCAGGGCCTTGGGCATGCAAGGCAAGAGCTCTACCCCTGAGCCACATCCCCAGCCCTCTAACAGATTTTTGAATTCACAAATTTTGTGTGTGTATGTTTGAAACAGGGGCTCGCTATGTCCTCCAGACTGGTCTTAAACTTGCTTATATAACCCAGGCTGGCCTCAAACTCATGGTGACCTTCTTGCCATGGCCTCCTGAGTGCTGGGCCTACATGCATGCACCTCCATGTCCAGCTTTTTTGGGTTTTTTGAGAGAGGCTCTCGCTATGTAGTTCAGGCTGGCTTCAAACTCACAACAACCCCCCTGCCTCAGGCTCCCGAGTGCTGTAATTACAGGTGAGCACCACCATGTTCAGATAGAATTTACAATATTTTTTAAAGTACATACTATTTCAACAACCAGATATTAAGAAGATAACCATCACTAATAAGTAGCTTCTACACACAATGGGGCTAGCGATTTAGCTCAGCGGCACAGCACCTGCCTGGCAAGCGCAAGGTCGTGAGTTCAATTCCCGGTACCAGAAAAAAAATAGAAAATAGAATACATGCAATGCACTGGCTGGAGGCTCTTTCCCATGCACTGCACCTGGGCTCCTCCGCCTCACTTTAAGTGTCTCTGGCACAGTAAGCACCTCTGTCACTCCTTGCAAGGTCATCCTGGGCTGCTGTCTTCTCACAGTGGTGAAGATACCAACTGTAAGGA